AGGATTATTGTGAAATGTCTTAATGTTATCCATGGCAAAGGCTTTCGCAACTTCCATGTTAACCTTTCTCACTGCCTCACTGAAATGAAGACGTAAGTGTTCTCGAGGAGACATCATAAGACATGCTTCTTCATTTCCATCAATGAGACATCCACAACATCGCTCTTGAATAATTGGCTTAAGTTCCACTACAGTTGAAATTGAATATGATGCAACGAATAAGTCCTCAACAATTGATAATACTTCCATAATGTTGTTCTTTAACAAGTTGACAAAGTAATAACAATTTGATTCCAGATCGAAAACACACTAGCTATATACACTAGCGACTGTGACGTCAGCAAACTAATCTCTTACGTCTAGACATATAAATAACTTTTCGCACCACAAATTTTTCGCGCCAGGAAAAAAGTTCTTCAAACTTTTTTTCTTATCTTTCCACTAACAAAACATCCACTTTTCAATCGAACACTTTAAAGTATGAATTAAAAAACAAAATACTAATTAAAAAAAAAATGAAAAAAATTTCGTCACGCATGAGTATGTGTTCCAGAACTCTCAATTCTCTACTACTGAAATCAAGGCATTGAATAGCGCTGTTATATAATTCATCTTTTGAACACCTTCGTACAAATCCCCGTGTAGAATTCCTATTGTGTCAGACTGTAAAAACTTGCTTTTGAAGACAGCCATGACTGTTGATGCTATGGTAACATATCTAAATTAATCAATATTCATCTCGGACAAAAAATATTTCTCGAAATCGAATACAGCTTTCCCGTAAAATCGTAACATCTTGAATGCAATCTCGTTCGAGTTCTTGGTCAAAATAAAAACAAACTTCTTATCATACATTTCAATAAACAAGTTTAATGAAAGAAATAAATATAAAAGTTTAAGGAAAGAAATAAAAATAAAAAACACAAATCAAATAAAAATCGGTCAGTGAAGCTCAACCTGGATGATGGTTTACATTTAATAGAATACAAAAAGTTAAAAAAGCTAATAATTGTAGTCACTCGTTGGCTTACAAGGTCTTTATTAGATATCTTTACAAGCCTTGGTTTGGCCTTAGATTACAACTTTACTGCTCAAGTGCACAACTTCAACAGCTAAAACTGCGTTACCGATAGTTTTGTCTAACACATTTACACGTGACTTGAGACGTCACATGACTGATTGGAGATATCCTATTGGTTGCCAGGTAAGGACTAGAACTCATGATGTGGTGTTTACTAGGTAAACACAGAAATCTTTGCAAAGAAAAGTCTCTACTTTTCCAGGCACTAAATACTTAGATACAAAAGTATGTAAGTAGTAAAAATTAAAAGATAAAAGATTGTGGTTTTGGTTTTTAGTGCCATTCGAAGTCAGAGGAAAAACTACGTATAGAAAGTGATTGCGCAGTTACGCCACGTAACTGTGCATTACGCATAAGTTAGGGGGAAGCTGCGAAGCTTGCATCCCCCAGGTAAAATCAATAGATAAATGAATAATATTGCACAATAATGAGTTCTAGAGAACAGCTGCTGGTGTATCCCAGGAAACCAAGGTCAAATGCAATTATTAGAAAAGCCGGTTTTCCTTTAGGAAACACCACCAAATCAACATATCGTATGAATAACCAATAAGATATCTTACCATAACGATGTCTACTTTTAATTAAAGGTTTCATTGTGTGGGACAGATTACCTAGTGTTAGCACTATCTGGAAAATGTATTAAAAACATTGTTAAACCTGATTAAGCTCTAAATTGAAAACAAAGTGTAAATACTGATTATTCAAAACATTGGAAACGAAACTAGAATATTGTATAAGTTGCCAGATATTGCCTTATGACAAGACTCCCCACCGAAGGATTTTTTTCCCGAGTTTTAGTTGAAAAACGAAAACTAAATTTCATGGTTTCCTCCAAATATTTTTATAGAAAAAGTTACTCTCGAGACAAATGATAAAGTGTTTTAATGGTACAAAACAAATTTCAGATACAGATGTRAAAACACCCATCCGCTATAACGCGTTTCTTGATATTTCACACATTGCACAGCATTTACCAAACACAGAGCATGAAAATAACGTCTCAAAATTCGGTTTCACACATCCATACCTCGAGCGAAAATAAGTTTACCGCTTAGAGGGTCAAACCTTTATTTACCATACCCGTTATATATTAACTGCCAAAAAAAGGATTCTTTGTCCTGCAAAGCAAACAAAATAGAATAGAAAAAGTTTATCTCGGAAAAAATCGGAGGTCAGTGAAGAAGACATGATTTGATTTTAAAACGTTTTATTTTTCAATCATTTTTTACGGCATTTTACATATTGAATATCTTTTTAATATCTTGACCTCTTGACCAAGTACTTGGTGATTTACAGTAACGAAAGCAAAACGAGAAAAATTGAGATGTAATCCATAAACCAAAAAAAATCATTTGAATATATTCACATACATTTTTGCTCTTCTCCGAAAACACGTCCCGGCACGTAGCCAGGACGGCTTCGTTGTATGGACACCTGTCCACAAAGCCCAATACCATCGCATCAATGGTGGC